AATGGGACACCTCCATAGCCCAGAGTCATCAATCAGGCTCTCCAGTTAGAATTTTGCGTGGCAGAAACTTCAGTCACCTAGTTACTATCTTTGAAAACATTTATGGAATGCACTTTCGGTTTGCAAGCTGCCCCACTGCTCCCCCCTCCCTTTCCGTTGGCAACTCTAAAAAGACCAGAGAAATATGTTATGAGTTGACACCTTTAGTTATGTTAACACACAGCTTAGCAGTTGGCACTGTGTGAACCTGCCTTGTTTCCCAGGCACGATACCAACTACGGAAAAGAATTTACAGGATTACAGAAGAACAGAGTTGAAAGGGACCTTGAAGGTCGCCAACCTTTTGGACCTCAGGGACCACCAAACTCATGATTTTAAATCCCGGAGACCGCTAACTGGTTCTGTGAGTGTGGCCTAATTTGTGGGTATTGCTTGGTCATGTGACTGGCTGGGTATGGCTTGTATGTAAATATTATAAATATTTATATAAATATTGAATTTTTTATTAAAAAAAAGAGCAATTTTCACCCAAAATCAGGCAAAGCAGGCGGGCAGATTGAGTTAATCACAGATTCACTTAGAGATCTGCGTTTTTACCATCGGCTACCTGAGTCTGCACTGCTTCAATCCTAAGGGAGGTTCGGCTGTGCTTAAAAGCAGAACTGAAGATGTCAAGATGAGCTAGAAAGCAAGAAATCCAACCATTTCCTGCTTTCTAGCTAATCTAAATCTCCCGGCACAGAACAGCTGATGGTCGGAAAAAGGAAAAAATAGCAACTTAGTAGGCAAGTTTGCCAGATCCTTGAGTAGGCGGGGAGGGTTTCCGTGGGCCACGTGGGCGGCGCAGCCTAGTGTTCCCCTGAAGCCTAGATTAATTGCTTTGGGGGGGTGTGCTCTGGGGGGGTGACATTTCTCTGCGGACCACCAAAATTTTCTCACGGCCCACCGGTTGGCGACCGCTGTTCTAGTCCAACCCCCTACACAAGCAGGAGCCACTATATCATTCTAGACAAATGGCTGTCCAGACTCTTCTTAAAAGAGTGATGGAACACCCACAGCTTCTAAAGGCAAGTCTTGATTTTTTTCACTGTTAGGAATAGTATAGAATGGAACTGGAAGGGGCCTTGGAGGTCTTCTAGTCCAGCCCCCTGCTCAAGCAGGAGAACCTAAGGAAATTTCTCCTTACTTCTAAGCTGTATCTCACTTTGGAGAATAGGTTTGACCCCTTCTTCTTCATGGCAGCGTCTCAAATACCGGAATGCTGCTATCATGCCTCCCCTGGTCCTTCTTTTCACTAGACTGGACATACTCAGTTCCTGCAATCGTTCTTCATACGCTTCCAGTCCCCTAATCATCTTGGTTGCTCTTCTCTGCACTTTTTCCAGAGTCTCAACATCTGTAGGACAGGACACATGAGTGGCAAACCCTGATTGGCAGCTAAAAAAAATCAGCAAAACTGATTTTGAGCTTTGACCCACTGATGGCCTCACCAGAGCAGAGAGGCCAAAGTAAATTGAAACACTTTTCACTGAACTTAATTTTATTGATTGGGATCCTGGAAAGTGGTTAATAATTTCTTGCTTCGGAACAAAAATTACCCTTGGGCACAAACCGATAAGACAGTCTCCAAGGGGTGCCCCCAAAGCTTTCATGGGTGGCCTGTGTCCCTCTTGGCAGGTAAGCACGCCTCTCGCGTAGTAGGCCTCCAATCAGTGCAGATACTTCAAGCATTCCCGAAAAGGTTTCCTCTGGCAACCAATTCAGAAATTGGGTTGATTTTTCCTCCTTCAAATGGATTTTCTAAATTGGGTGGTAATCCAAACCCCGCTGGATCCAGTTCTGACTTGAAACGATTTGGTGCTTCTCAGCTCTCCTGTGTAAGGACCAGCTAGATGTCCTCCCCCATCCCTGCTCCTTTGCAAATCCCCAAAATGTTCATTTGGGGGCTCTGGACAACCCCCCCAACTAAGATCTGTTCTGACCAAGGCTTTCTGAGACGTTAACAAACACACTTTAGTCCCCAAAACCTTTTATTTCAGCGGCTGTGAATTTTAGTCAGTCGCAGCTCGTAATGAGTCTCAAACAGTTTGTAAATAGTCCCACAGAAGTCTGCCAAAGTCCTTGGGGATAAGTCTGATCAGCATGCACCTTTATCTTCCTTGAAAGGCTGCCAATGACTAGATTGCCAATTAGTTATATAAGGCCAACCGGAGCACCAATTCAACACAGAGCTTCGGGTTTCAAACCGACCAGTACGAACAAAGTTGCTTCCTGCAAAGGCTCATGTCCCTTTGCTCCTCCTTTATGTCTTATGGGAGGAGGGGCAATCACCTTCCAGGCTTACTCCCGAGTCGCCCCTTTTGTCTTAGCTGCTCTTGCCTTCTGGCAGTTCTGTGCACACGCACACTGGGAACAGGCTCCCGCTATTCCTCGGCCTCACTGCTGCCAGATTCTGGAGGCTCCAGAATCAGCACATAACTCCCAAATGGCCCCGGCCCCATCTCTGCATCGGATGCAGGACACTTCATCCAAGCCCTCCCCAGACTCCCGGACTGGCCCATGTTCCTCCCCACTGTCTGACTCTGCTACCAGCTCCGCAGGCTGCCGGTGGACAACAACAAGATTCTGTTCGTATGTGCAGATACGAGATCCACAAATGCATGGATAAAAAAAGGTTTTTTCTCAACCTTGGCCACTTTATGCTATAGTACTTTTTATTATTTTCCACCAATACAAATCCTAGTTACATTTTCAACAGCGTTTACATCCACATTTATTATCGTCTCATATTTCAATCACGTATTCATACATATCACCAATAATTTTAGATAGATAGATAGATAGATAGATAGATAGATAGATAGATAGATAG